CAGGATGTGTCTGATTTTTGTAATATTACGTAAATGAAAGAAGGCAGTCCTAGAGGTCTGCTTTATGTGGGAATTAAATGACAAATCCTGATCAAAGATAACTCCAGCAATACATGCTGTTTTTACGTAAATACTGATATTTATAAATTTATAACTGGGTGGAGGCCTAAAGCAGCAAAAACCCTGAAAATGTGTAAAAATGGCCCTACAAACCAGATGAGAACTGTTTTGTAATCTCTAAACAGAAATCACAAATAAAATGTCTAAAGGCACTGTTTATCCGTAGGTAAATTAGGCTTTTTGAGGCTACTCATTTTAGATGTTCAGTGACAAGACAAGTCATTAATTTTAAGCACCTAACTACAGGCAACAGATTATATCTCTACCTGTGTGTTTGTTAACATGTGGAGTATTAGAATAGAAAGTTTGTTTAATATATACAGTAACATTCACTGACTGACATCATTGTTTATCAAATTTCAGCAAAATTTTATCATGATTTTATGATCCTCTCATGTTATTGTTCTACAAATTCCAAATTATTCCTTCAGAAGAAGCTATGTATACTTAACACATTTAAATATCTATTTTAATACGGCAGATGCTTTTAGTGCCCAGGTGTCAAAAGCCAACAATGCTATTTGCACCTGGGGTAGGATGACCAATTCTTTCATTACACCAGCATGAAAAAGAAAAACAAGTAGTAGGGATGGGAAGATATATGATATTATAATTGTATCCTGTTGTATCCCCCCACAAAAATCAGTTAAACAGGATGTGTGGCAATAGTATTAGATTCCAAAATAACGAACAGGGAGATGATGCTGTGCCTATCTGTGATGCAATGAATATATTTGTTTCAAAACAAAAACAAAAAAAAAGTAATTCCAGTATGGTTTAGTGCCATTTCAAAAGTATGAAGTATATTTTCTTGATTATTGTGATAATATCGTTAATCACACTTATTAAATATTCAATTCAATTCAATTTTATTTGTATGAGTGCGCCATTCATAACAGAGAGTTATTCTCAGGACACTTTTCAAATAAGAGCAGGTCTAGACCGAACTCAATATATAATTGTGGCATGAAATTTTCATGAAATCGTCTCGCCTACCAAGTAGTTTTGTTGCTTAAACCTTACCAAACTGTGACTGAAACTGAAAATAACTTTTAAAAAGAAAGAAAAAGAAAATAATAAGTCACCTAAGCCTAAAAACAAATACTCAATACTGACTTTTGGTTTCCCACAAAACTCAAATCCTGGGTGAAAGTCCTGTGTTTAAACCATTCATCCACAATGACCTCTTTTCTACATGGTATTTGCTGTTCTTTATGGCTAAACTAGGGGGCTGGGTGTAAATAACCAAATGCTGCTGTGTGACTATACGTGCAAATAGACACTCTTTATTAACAGTATAATAAATTTAAATCATATCACCCAATCGCACTATGTAACATGCATGAAACAATAGAACACTGAGTGCTGACTGTTGTTTAGGCTAGCACATGCAAGTTTTACAAACTAAACTGTATATAATCATATAGTGAAATGAAATTAGTTAATTAAAAAGTAAACAAAATACAATATAAACAACTAAAAATATTAAAGCTTAGCTGACAGGCTTACTGTACCTTATTCTTCTGCTGCAGTAGCACAAAGGAGGGACTGATGCTACAGTTCTTACACTGTCAGAGAGAGCCAAGTGAGAGGTGGATATCAGCATGACACTTGCCCAGCACTGCATGTTGACCTTGATCTCACATGGCCTGTCCTTCAAGGCTTAAAGATATCTGCAGAGAGATTATAAAATAATAAATAAATTGCATAGTGTTATTCTTTGTCATCCACATTCCAACACTAACACTAACTACATAAGGTTTGTTTATCTGCCTGCTGACCCTTTAAGACTTTTAACATCATTACCTCAGTGCTATAGGCTCCTCTGTGTCAACTGCCTAACACATAGGACTGTGATGTTTAGAAATACTTTTGGATTAATTAGCAGACACCACAGCAAATGCAAATCAAGGTGACACCATTTGTTCTTTCCATCAAGGATTTAACCGCCGACAATTGGCCTTACCTTAGAGGAATCTGGTTACAACTCCAAAGCCAGGAAGGGGACGCAAAACAGATGAAGATTTCCGCAGGGATTTATACAGCTGAGAATAAGAATAAGTCCAAAATGTGAAAACAAATTCTGATCAACTTGGAAAATTGTTCAGCACTCATCATTCTCATTTTACAGGAGTAAACAAAATATGGCTTAATTTGCTAAGAGGTGAGAATGGATAGCATTCCATTCTCATTTGTTTTTCTCCTTGAAGGAGTGCTCATTTAAATGTTTTTTTTAACTGATGTTCCAAAAAATTAGACTGACCATTGTACTGTATATTCTGATTGAAACCATAATGGAGTAAAAATTAATAAATGAGAACAAAATTGAATTGTGCTCAAGAATAAAGGGAGGTGTCTGGGCAAAGTTACAGTGCTATGCACCTGTTACCACTCATCCATCATGACATCAGAGACTGCACTTCAGCTATATCGCTGCCTCATAGGCTGCCCTTCTCAATCAGACAGAAAAAATCCAGGCAAGAATTTCACAGGGTTATCTTTGTCCTCAAGGCCAAAGGAAAGGGAACAATGCCATGACGACACCATGAGACAAAGGGTGTAGACCTTGCTGGGCAGAACAGTGGTGAGTGATAATTTAAAGTCCCTGACCTTACCTCTCACACTTGACAACAGCTGCAACACTTTATTGTTTCAGTAGAGGCTGTAGAAATGCATTTCACCACCCTTCACATGACTGACCTTCGATGAACTTAATCTTTTTAGGAATCGTAACAAGTCCAGAGCGCTTCTCAAAGCACAATGTTTGAAGAACAAGTTAGTCTTATTAAGTCATTAATGTTGCTTGTCTGTCACAACTTTTGGATTTATAAATGAGACACTGAACTTAAACGTGATGTTAGTAGATAATTAAGAATCATGGAAAAGAAAGTGCAACCTGTTGTCTCTCAGTTTTACTCGAACTTTTTTGGTTCTGGTTATCAAAAATTGCAGCTGCTAGATTAGTAATGCAGATAATACACATTTTATCCAAATCAAAATATACTGTATGACCATAGTAGGTTCATACGGGCGGCTGTGGCTCAGGCAAGCAGTCCGTCCCTCAATCAGAAGGTTTTGTTCATTTCCCCGGTCCTCCTGACGGTCGAAATCCTGAGCAAGATACTGAACCCAAATTGCTCCCGATGCAAATACATGCGGTGTGTGAATGTGTATAATATTATTTCTTTCGATCGAATTTACCATCACTGAGTGATTATGTGTGTGAAAGGGTTGAATTGACGTAGTGTAAACGCTTTGCGTGGTCGAGAAGACCTAGAAAGGCGCTATACAAATAAAGGGTCCATTTACATTGCCATCAGTTCATTACATCGTCATGATACAAGACAGGGTTTAAAAGTACATAATTTAAGTTTAAATATTAAATGCCTTTTAGAATGTTGAAATAACCAATAAAAGTATTTAATTTTGGAGGGCAACTAAAACAACTGTAAACAAAACTGGTAGAAATTATATAAATAACCTGTTATAATTTATATGAATAAAACTATATGTATTTGATATCAAAGCTGTCCTGATCCACCTCTTGCCTCTCCTCTTGCCTCCCCTTTTCTTGTACCTATGTATTGTCTCGCCTTGTTTTGTCAAGGAGGTGAAAGCAACAAATAGCAGCTACGATTCTCTGCCATTAAGAAGACGACTTTTTAATGTACAACCTTCTCCAAATTCATCGCCAATATTTGGCTGGATAAACAACTTTATTATGGAAGACGCTTGCTGTCAGCTAGCGTGGCTCATCACTTTCTGCTTGATTAAAGGTTGGAGAGGCAAAGGTAAGCAAGACATTTATACAGCTGTTATGGAATAGGAAATGTTTGCAATGTCTTGATATTTGCTGCCTCAGTCTATAAGCATGTTTTTGAAGTAAAGTTTTTAGTCATAGTACTCAAAATGATCCGATGTTCTTTGCAATGAAATAATGTTTGCTTTTATATTGGTTTTAAGAGCAACGTGAATATTAACTGACCCCTTAGTCTCCTTGACTCCAAACCACCCTAGGTAAAGATCACTCCCACACTTACAAAAACTAAATATTTGCTTCTTTAATGTAATAATTAAGACATCTAAGGTAATTTGCACAGTTGTGCACAGATAACACTCATGATCAGTATTATCTACTTTATATTATTGCACATGTGGTATCCTGATGGCTAATGTAATGCATGAAAAATGTTAACAAGCTGCTGTGCAAACTAATGATGATACTATCATCAGTAATCGGCTTAAACATTTATATCCTCTTACAGCGTTGAAAAAATGGGGATCTGCATGGCAGGAGTTGGGGGCCTCCTGCATCCTTTTCTGAGAAAGTCAGATAAGGAGCGCCTGGAGGCCCAAGACTCGTTATATTGACATGAGAAGGAGTCCTTCGTTCCTGACCCCGAGGTTGAATATGTCAAAGCTACATCTTCAGCAGTCGTAGATGGTGACAAAGTCACAGCTGAAATGAATTTGGAAAGGTAGGTACATTTTCTAAGTTCGGCAGGAGAGTACTGATGTAAATATTTCTAGCAGGGAACATTTGGTTTGAGTTTTAGTCCAGTGTGAATGTAAAATGTATTCTTATTTTTCGTAGACTGTCAACAGTGAGGAGTGGGTGATGGTGAACCCTCAGAACCCACAAAGTTTGATAAAATTGAGACATGGCAATGGTTCACCCTTCCTCCATGACCTGCTGTGCTGTTTAACTCAAAGAGCTTTATGCAGGCAGGATGATCCTATGAAGACATGAGAACTAACAATAACATTTAGCTTGCATCTGATAAAGTTAAGAGCAAACATACTTGAATGAGTAAGTAAACATAATGTTATCCTTCCTAACTTATCCTGTAATCCTTCTCTTACTCATGGCAGACCGTACTCTTGGGCTCTTCTGTGTGACTGTCACCGCCTACAAGGGGGGCTACCAGTCTACAACCAGGGAAGGTGGTTGTTGCCTATAGAGGAATAAGAGGAGTGAACTCTCCTCATATCTTCTCTATCTCTGACAATGCCTACCAGGTACATGCTGTCAGGCTAAATAATTTTTTACCCTTTCAATCCTGTTTAATATTCTGCTCTGGACATAATTTTCTTCGAATTCTGATTTCTGATTCTGATTTATTTTGTATTAATCTTGAAATACTCTCTGCGACAGACAGAGAAAACCAGGTCATCCTTATCACTAAGTTATGTACAACAAAAAAACCCTCATAGTTGTGGGTATAGGTCTTGGTCAAAAAAAAAAAAAAAAAAAAAAAAAAAAAAAAAAAAAAATAAACTTTCTGTCTCCTTTTCGACTCAGTGGAGAATCTGGTGATGGAAAACTGCAACACCAAACGTGTCATTCAGATACTTTGCCAGCACGCTGCTGCCCAACTGGGAAAGAAAGACTAGCTGCGAGAAAGGTCTGAGATTACAAAATTAGTATTCTGGATTATTTTCACGAAGTAGCTTGTTAGCCAATAATACCATTTCTAAAAAGGTGAAACACATTTTTAATTTTATATACTTGTAACTTGAACCTGAAATTGTGTCTTCCTTGTGTCCAGGGGTACCCTGGAGGGATCAAATCATTCAGGCTAGACCTGCCCCTGGATGCCCTTTGGGAATGCAAAACATCAAGAATTGAACTCCTCAAGATTTGTAGATGTTGTGGAATCAGCAAATGTGATTCTAAATGAAAGTAATTTTGAGTGGAAAAATTAGTGTCTCTCCCTTTTTTCAGGTAAATTTTCCCATTCATTTGATAAGCGAGAAATGGCCCTCTGCTGATATTAATACTTGTTAAGCAACATTGAGCATTATAAGACAATTAAAGAATCACCTGACACAGTGTTAGGTACTATGAGATATAAACTGATTTCTTTTAACAGACACTTCCTGAGAATTCTCCGTGTGACCTTCGCTGCAGAGCTGAGAGGGACTACCACATTTTCTACAGATCTTTCTCAGGCAAAGCCTGAACTTCTGGTAGTTTACAATAGTACATGGTCATGTAAGGGTTATTACTGTACTGTATCATTCATTTTATCATAAAATAACTTTCTGTCTGTTTGTGAATATCTTTTTAGAAATTGTCTTTCACCTAAAAACCCCTATGACTACGGGCCTTCATCTCCAAGGGAGAGACAACAGTGGCCTCTATCATGATCTGAAGAGCGATGCCACTGATGTGAGCTGAAATCGTCAATCCAGTCAAAAATGAATTTATGAAATTCGACCTTTACAATGCCAGAAAATTTCATTCTTGATCTTACATTTATCTTTTTTAGGAGCATTTGATGTTCTATGGCTTCACAAGTAGGAGAAAAATGGCATTTAACAAGCTGATTGGTTGCCATCAATGCATCAGGAAACAGAAGTTCAAGAAACAAGCAGCGTGAAGAGCAGCAGAAGCTATGCACAGAAGGGTAAAACATGATATTTGAAACACACTACGCCAATGAAGAGGTGGTTGAAAGCAGTGGATGACCCTGATGAATTAATACTCACAATTACTCAACAGATGCTACAACAGTACGCTATCTGATGGGCTGAACTCGGAACCTCCATCCAAAGGTCTCTGTCTCCAAGAGTCCAACATTAGGAAATGAAATGGGTCAGCCAAAGGCAAAATGTCGCCCAGGTAATAAGCGCAGGACTCTTTGGAGGATGTTTGACTTCATAAAACGTACATGTTAAAGATAGTTACTAATGTATTTTTTCCTAATGTGACACTATGCTATTGGCGCACTGTCTAAATCAGTGTATGAGAAGATGTTTCTATGGATGGTAGTGAGAATCAACCAATCTTTGGACACCAAGCAGCCTCGACAGTACTTCATCGGTGTACTGGACATTGCTGGATTTGAGATATTTGATGTGAGTTTAAAAAGAATAGATAATCTATAATAATAATAGTCTTTGTTTTTAGGAGAAATTATTAAGCCTGGTTTTACCATGGACCATTTCATTATAGTTCAACACCTTTGAGCAGCTGTGCATCAACTTCACTAATGAGAAACTGCAACAGTTTTTCACGCACCACAGGTTTGTGCTGGAGGGAAGAGTACAAGAAGAGGGCATTGAATGACTTGTCATTGTTTTGGTTATGGACTTTGCAGGCTGTACTGACTGATGAAAGTAAGTAATTATCATTTAGGGGTGAGTATGTTACTGAATTGCTTATTTCACTTTTAAAACAGTGCTATGACATTTTTCTATACTGCAATGATTTTTTACAGCCCATGGGTATCATGTCCATCCTTGAAGAAGAGTGCATGTTTCCCAAAGCCTCTGATGCCACCTTTAAAGCTAAGCTCTATGACAACCATCTGGGGAAATCTGCCAACTTCCAGAAGCCCAGAATTGTCAAAGGGAAACCAGAGGGCCATTTTGCCCTGATGCACTACGCTGGAACTGTTGATTATAATATCAACAATTGGCTGGTGAAGAACAAGGATCCTCTGAATGAGACCGTTGTTGCACTGTACCAAAAATCTAATCTTAAACTGCTCGGTACACTCTTTGCAAATTATGCTGGAGCTGATTCAGGTTTGTATTTGAAAAGGGATTAGCATCTTTGTTTCAAAATGATTATCAATGTGTCATGTGAAGGAGTTGTACAAAGGTAGAACTGTATAATGACGGAGCTTTTAATATAAAAAAAAAAAATTGTACCCCCTTTTATTTATTTGTGTACAGTTTAAAACAATCTAAAAACATGTCTTTATTATATTTGTTTACTTTCTCTTAATTCTAATGATAAATGTTTTATTTAGTTCAAGAGTCTGGTGGGAAGGGCAAAGGTGGTGGTAGCAAGAAGAAAGGTTCATCTTTCCAAACTGTATCAGCCTTACATAGGGTAAGATCAATATATTTTACATTGTGTAATACATTAGCTAATTGAGACGTTCTTCTCAGATTTTATATCTCAGAGTCCTTAACCATAAGGAATCATGTTGTTTATTCATAATGTACTGTTAATGAAGGTGGTAATGGGCAATCAATTCTCTCCTCTGTCGGGCACTCACAGGAGAACTTGAACAAACTGATGACCAACTTGAGGTGTACTCACCCTCACTTTGTACGCTGCATCATCCCCAATGAGACCAAGACTCCTGGGGCCATGGAGAATCCTCTGGTGATGCACCAGCTGCGCTGTAACGGTGTGCTGGAAGGCATCAGGATCTGCAGAAAGGGGTTCCCAAACAGGATCCTCTATGGAGATTTCAAACAGAGGTATCTGTCATCTATATATATATGTATACAGATGGGTGATATATTAAAAGGAAAAAACATCAAGTCTCTAAGAATGTAGACAAGAGTGGCCACAGCAGTTTCAAGGTGACTTGTCATTGATTCTTCAAGTTTCTGGCACCCTGCTAGGGGGAGGGGGGAGGGGGGGGGACATCATTCATATGTCATAAGATCATAAGATCATTTAGTGTTTTGATGATGTGGTGAAGAGCACTGTCTAATACTTTTTTTCCTTTTACTTTGTCACCTAATGATATATCTTAAAATGTTTTCAGTAATAGTTATTGTGGTAATTTGATATTTCATATAAATTGAAAAAATAATTAAATGATCTTTTATCTTTATTACAAAGATATCGCATTTTAAACCCAAGTGCTATACCTGAGGGACAGTTCATCGATAACAAAAAAGCTTCTGAGAAGCTTTTGGGTTCCTTGGATATAGACCATAACCAATACAAACTGGGCCACACCAAGGTAAGTATTGGTGAAATACATTTTGGCGTATCTAGCATGAAACATATATTTCTGCCTCAGGGTGATAAGGAACTGCACAGAGTGACATTGTGTTTTGAGTTGTTTTTATCTATTGCTGATAATTAAGTACATAATATAATAAGTACAGACAATTGATGCCTTTCATTCACAATATTAATATCTATGTGATAACACAGAGATGTCGATGTAAGCTGGGCATGAGACATTGTATTTAACATACACACTCACACCCATCCTGAAGCTAAACTGCTGACCTCATTTGTTTGCAAAACTCAGGTGTTCTTTAAAGCTGGACTGCTTGGTCTGCTGGAGGAGATGCGAGATGACCGCTTAGCTCTAATCATCACTAGGATCCAGGCAAGGTCACGAGGTGTTCTGGCAAGAATTGAATTCCAGAAGATTGTAGAACGCAGGTACACGCACTAATCAATTCTAATGCCATAGAAATATTTATACATTAGTGTTCAGTAAAAAAATACTTAAATTGCTCTTCTCAATATCTTGAATCAATATCCACAGGGATGCATTACTTGTGATCCAGTGGAACATCCGTGCCTTCATGGGTGTCAAGAATTGGCCCTGGATGAAGTTTTTTGTTTTCTCAATCATTAGCTATAAACAGGCGAGAGAGATGATATGCATCTCAGCGGTGATAGCCTATGTTCTGCGCACATGAAAGCACTGTGGGCTATCGCTTCTGAGATGCTTGAGTCCCCGGCAGTTCACAGAATAATACAGCTCACTGTCTTCAATCTTTCGCTCGCGCAGCACACTTCAAATATAGAGGCTAGACGATGCTGCCGCCATCACCTCTGGCGAATTTACTACAAAAAATCCGCGCGTGTGTGTGTTTCAATTGCTGTCTCAGAGAGCAGTATCTTAATCTGTAATGTTTGGAGGTTAACACTTGATCTTAACCTTCGTGGAAAAACATTGAACCCTATTCATGTTCATAGATTTTTGCCATTTCTCTAATATATCTGACAGTAGATAATCTATATAAACAGTTCAAATCAGGGCAACATATTGGGTTATCCTGATCAATTAAACAAAATCTGAATACATAATCTTTACCTCTTACCCCGGCCTCAGGATTCTATTCTCTCTTTCATTTCTCCAGATTCCAAATTCTTCAAATTATTCTTCAGTGTCTCGAAGGACAGTCCAGAGGACCTCTTCCTTTTTTAGATGCCTCCATCTCTGTGTTTTAGACCAACTCCCATCTCGTCCAATTCTGCCAAAACTAGAGATTGTTTAGATGATTAGATGGAGGTTGAATATGGTCTGCTAAATTAACACATTCTTCATCTAACAAGTCAAAGTGATACTTGTATTAAATTACTTGTCAAAGTTTTTTGCCTTCTGTCCAGAGCAGCAGCAGCAGCATTAGACCTCTCCACATCCACACATGAATTCATCTCATTTCTGCAGCCTGTGTTTGGCTTCTCTCAGAGAGGGAACATTAGCGTCACCTGCTTCAACAGGCCCCTCGCACCTGCCAGCCACGCTAGCCAGCTCTTCTGGATTATATTGAATTCATAGAAAGTGTTTATAGATAGTATTGTTTAAACTCAGAGTTGTTTGAGTGAAAAAATTGACAGACTTGCCTCCCCATCTTCAGTTCTCTGGATGATCATTCATACTTGGTCCCCTGAGCACCTCAGAGTTGGCCTGGACATGCTCGCTGCAGTATCAGCTTGGCCTCCTTGCTCCTCATCATACTGCTCCGCTGAGGATGGTCAGCAGTCAATGACGAGCAGACTGCACTGAAATGGGCTAAGATTCTTCGGCCTGAAGAGAGCCATCTTAATGCCCTCCTCGTGCAACCCAACATTTACCTGCACTAAAGCAGGTCTCAATTGTTACACTTGACTCCTCTTCCAAGTTGTCTTTAAGGTCATGCGAATTGAGTGTAGATGTTTTCCTCTCTAAGTTGAGACACCCACGGACCCTTTCCTCAAGCGTCTTGTAATCACCTAAAATTGTTGACAACAGAAAAAAATGAGTACTCATAATACTCCCAAACAAAACACAATGGTATCAAATCAGGCCTTACTTCTCAGTTGAAGCTTTGCTTTCGCATGTAAAATCATGATGGTACGTGTCCCTCTCTGACTGTTATATCATCTATCTGCTCAGAGACCTGCACATTCCCCAAATATTCTAAAACAAAAAGTTCATATGATACAAAACTACTTCAAAATGAATGGAAGTGTTCTAACACAAGGTAAACACATTAATCTCATCACAGAAAAACGTTTGACCTTACTTCACAATATGTCCATATTGAGACCACATCACCAGCCCCATCTAACCACTCTTCCTTACCAGTTGCGACTCCTGTAGTTTCAACTCTTCCCCAGGCAGCACACTCAGCTTGTCTTCCTGAGTGTGGCAGCAGTGCTTCATGCTGCGAGTCTCAAAGGTCCTGCGGATTTGATCCAGGCCTCCCCACCTCTTGTTCATGCTCAAACCTGGGCAGCGGTTCCCACAGCTCCTCCAGCCTCCCGATGAATCCTCTCCAGTTAATCTGACAAGATGCTTATCGTGCTTCTCTACCCCTTGGCTCGGCAGCTCGCTCGCTTCAAGCCTTCCTCCAGCTCCTCAAGGGGCCTAGACAAAATAAAGCAAAACGTTAAATATAATCTGCCAATATGGTGTTAAAAATGTACCATATTTATACTCACTTATTAATACGCTACTTCACCACATATACCCTGCAGCTCTCTCAACATTTTTCTGGAGCCGGGGCACTCATCGCTGGTCATCTCTATTTGTGCCAGTGAGTGCTGATTTCAAAATCTTATCTGTAGAAAAAAAATGAATGACAGTCCATGAAATGTTTAAATCAAAATTTTTGTTTACTTTTTCTACTTTCAGCCCCTCGAGTTGCTGCTTGTACATTCTCCAGTCATGATACCTCATGAGATAACTTTAGTCTCCCCTCAAGCTTTTCGCTTTGCTCGCTCAGGTCATCCACGCACTTTCTTCTCCCCATTGCTCAAGGATCCTTCGAGCTGGGGCGAATATATAAATTTCTTTGTCACTAATTATATCATATTATAACAACTCCACCTGATTTGTAAAGACTTACAATCATCAAACACGTTGCTGCTCCAGCTTAGCCTTGCCCTGGTCAGAGTGTTGACTGTCTCTTCACTCCCGCAGATCAATCCAGTGTTTGCTGATGAGCTTCTGTAAGGACTCTCTCTTTCCTGCAGCTTTGCAATGATTGCTCCAAAGCAGCCCCAGCTCCTCTGTC